GCGCCGGGGCGCAGGACAGGAAGACACGAGACCGGAGAGCGGACTGCAGAACTGGGTGCCCAGCTCCGAACCACAGCCTCCTGGGACTGGCCCAGCGGCTGGGCGGGGCCGAGAGGAAGGAGTCAACCACCGGCCACCCAGAAGACCGGAAAGAAAAGCGGCCTCGCCTTGGCCACAGGCAGGAACACGAGGCCTGCCGGTGAGGACGCCGCCACCCGCAGGAAGCGGGGGAGCAGGTACAACCTGCACAGCTTCGCCCAAGCAGCCACACAGGCGCTCCTCGGGGAGAACAAGCCGAGCAGCTCCTTGGAAAGGCCGGGGTGGCAGTGCATCCACAGAGCCGCAAGGGCAGAATCGTGTCCGCCGGCCACAAGGTCCCCTGGGATGGGCGACTGAGGCCAATGCCGCTGGCCTGACCCGCTCCTCAGTTTTTACCAGTACGCCTGACAGAGCCGTATTATTGCCTGATACGGTCTTCAAGACAGAGATGTGAACCACAACTAAGGGGAGACAAGGGACCCCACGGTGAGGCTTCTGCGCCCCACCAGAAGTAGCGGGAAGAGTAAGTCTGGCTGGTCATTCCAGAGCATCCACCGAGAGAGGCAGTCGGGACCAGCACTGCTGTCTGAGGGCCACCCGATAATGGGGCGCGCCTGCCAATACGTGAGGGTGCATCAGGTGAAGCCAGCCACCAGGTGTCTCCCGAGGGCCTCCCCAAAGTGTACTTCCTGCGGCCCAGGAGCAGGGCCCACACTCCTGCCCGGCTCTCGACTCCCCGGGCTGCCTGTCGGGGCCGCTGCATGAAGGCCGCCAGCCAGGCAGCTGCTCGGAGTGCTGCAGATCCCGCCTGGCCCCTTCCAAGTCTCAAGCGAGGATGCAGGCTCCTCGTTCCCTCTGTGCCAATACGTACAGCACACATCCACCAAGAGGTTCAGGGTCCAGAGAACACAAACGACACCCAACAGTCTGCGAGGAGAAGGGTGCAGGCCCCGGGAGCCTTCTGAAGGGCACCCTTCTCCTGCGGATCGGAACCCTCAGTGCGCCACCTGCCCTCGCAGGCCCACGCCTGGGCCCCGCAGCACCGGCCACGCACCTGGTAGCCGCGCACCAGCGTGGTCTGCAGCTCTCTGAGAACGTACTGCAGGAAGCGCACGCCCAAGTCCTCCAGGATCCTGGCGAGGGTGCTGCGTGCCACGTCCCTGACCTCCTGCGCTCTGTTCTTGAGTAGGGCGCACACCTTCAGCAGGATACTGGAAAACAGTTACGAAAGGGCTGATGGAGTAAGCAGGAGCAAATAAAAATACAAACGTCCTTCTCCTAACCTTCCTAACCCTGATTTCTAGCTTAGGAGACGGAACACACAAACCGGGACGTCTCACGAGAGACTGCCCACCCCGGCCCGCCCCGACGGGGTGTCTGCCGCCCACCTCGGCAGGTTGGCCTCCATCGCCTCCTGCGGCAGGGACCGCAGCAGCTTAACCATGGCGAACGCCAAGGGCACACGGACCACTTCCTCGTCCTGCACGACCTTCGACTTGATGAGCTTGTGCTCTTCTTCCCGCTTAGTCTGCAAGAGAAGGTGGGGTTGGCGACAGCCAAAGTGAGGCCCCGCCGGGGGGCAGGCTCTCCTGGTGTGAAGTCCATTTCTAAAAATACTGCATTCCTGAGGCTCACCCTCTAAAAATTATTAAAAAAATAAAAATAAGAACATTCTATTAATCAGGCTGGGGATTTAAGCTCAGTGGTGCCGTCGCCTGCCTCGAAAGTGCAAGGTCCTGAGTTCGATCCCTGGTGCACACACACACAAGAAAGTTCTATTATCAAAGAAGCAACTAAAGAAAAAAATAAAGCCAAGTTGTCACTGAATTAAGAGTGCTATGAAATATATAAAAGTCATAAATAGCCAAGTCAACATTTATACCAGCAGTTGGTAAGTATTTTCGGTAAAGATAATAGACAGTTTTGGCTTTGTGGTATTTGCTGAAGTTATTAGACACTGGTATTGTAATACAAAAGCAGAGTTAGATACTCCACAAGTGTGTTTCGATAAAACTTCAGGTGTAACAGCCGCCGCGGTGCAGGGCTGTTGTCTGCTGGCTGAGGCTTCACACTAAGGAAAGGCCCTGGCTTCACAAAAGCGCACTAGTAAATGTTATCCCCGAACTGTGAACGGTGCAGAAGTGGTAACAAGCAGGAAAGGAAACATACTTTCATCTGTCACCAACCACTTTGGAAGCGGGAGTCTTTTTAGCAAGGACTTTGGATGGAAAAAGCGGACGTCTTCCAAGGGAACGCTGCTGCAGGCGCGGGAGGGTCTGGGCCGAAGAGGGGCGCGGGGTGGGGAGCGGAGAGCAGGGAAGCCCGAGATTACCGGGGACGCCAGGCACTTGTGCAGCCGGGGAAGGATGTCCCCCGTCACGCTCCTGTGGATGGCTTCAACCGTCCTCTGCAGTTCTTCCGCGTTCCGGGGAAGGAGGGAGAGGGCGCGCGGGGCGC